GTGTCTTTTGATTGGGGCATTCAGCCCATTTACATTTAGGATTAATATTGTTATGTGTAAATTTGATCCTGCCATTTTGATGCTAGTTGGTTGTTTTGCCTGTTATTTGATGCAGTTTCTTCATTGTGTTGATGCTCTTTACCATTTAGTACATTTTTGGAGTGGCTGGTACTGGTTGTTCCTGTCTATGTTTAGTGCTTCTTTCAGGAGCTCTTGTAAAGCAGGACTGGTGGTGATGAAATCTCTGAGTAATTGCTTGTTCGTAAAGGATTTTATTTCTCCTTCGCTTATGAAACTTAGTTTGGCTGGATATGAGATCCTAGGCTGAAAGTTATTTTCTTTAAGGATGTTGAATATCAGCCCCCACTTTCTTCTGGCTTGTAGGGTTTCTGCCGAGAGATCTGCTGTAAGTCTGATTGGCTTCCCTCTGTGGGTGACCTGACCTTTCTCTCTGGCTGCCCTTAGCATTTTTCACCTTCATTTCAACCCTGGTGAATCTGACAATTAGTGCCTTGGGGTTGCCCTTCTTGAGGAATATCTTTGTGGTATTCTCTGTATTTCCTGGACTTGAATATTGGTCTGCCTTGCTAGGCTGGGCAAGTTTTCCTGGATAATATCCTGAAGAGTGTTTTCCAGCTTGGATTCATTCTCTCCATCACATTCAGGTACACCTATCAAATGTAGATTAAAGTCTTTTCACATAATCCCATATTTCTTGGAGGCCTTGTTTGTTTCTTTTTACTTTTTCCTCTAATTTTGCCTTCTTGTTTTATTTCATTGAGCTGATATTTGACCTCTGATATCCTTTCTTCTGCTTAGTCAATTCGGCTATTAAAATTTGCGTATGCTTCACGAAGTTCTCGTGTTGTGTTTTTCAGCGCCATCAATTCATTTACGTTCCTCTCTAAGCTGTTTATTCTCATTGCCATTTCGTCAAACCTTTTTTCAAGGTTCTTAGTTTATTTGCATTGGGTTAAAACATATTCTTTTAGCTCAGAGAAGTTTCTTATTACCCACCTTCTGAAGCCTGTTTCTGTCAATTCATCAGACTCATTCTCCATCCAGCCTTGTTCCCTTGCTGGTGAGGAGTTGTGATCCCTTGGAAGAGGAGAGGCATTCTGGTTTTGGGTGTTTTCATCCTTTTTGCGCTTGTTTCTTCCCATCTTTGTGGATTTATTTACCTGTGGTCTTTGTAGTTGGTGAATTTCAGATGGGGTCTCTGAGTGGGCGTCCTGTTTGTTGATGATGAAGTTATTTCTTTCTGTTTCTTAGTTTTCCTTCTAACAGTCAGGCCCCTCAGCTGTAGGACTGCTGGAGGTCCACTCCAGACCCTGCTTGCCTCGGGCTCACCGGCAGCAGCTGCAAACAGTGAGGGTTGCTGCCAGTTTCTTCTGCTATCTTTGTCCCAGAAGGATACCTGCCAGATTTCAGTCTGAGCTCTCCTTTATAGGTGACTCTTTGGATATACAGGGGTCAGGGAGCTGCTTGAGGAGACAGTCTGTCCCTTATAGGAGCTCAAGTGCTGAGCTGTGAGCTCCGTTGTTCCATTCAGAGCTGCTAGGCAGGTACGTTTAAGTCTGCTGCAACAGAACTCCTAACAACTTTTTTTCCCCAGGTGCTCTGTTCCAGGAAGGTAGGGCTTTAATTTATAAGTTTCTGTGGTGCTGTTGCCTTTTTTTCAGGGATGCCCTGCCCAGCAAGGAGGCAGCCTAGTCACAGTCTGCCAGCAGTGGCGTTGCTGATCTGCTGTGGACTCCGCCCAGCTGCTGTGTGAACCTCTCTGCTGTCCTGTTTATAGGGGTATAGCTAGAATTGCCTCGGCAATGGCAGCCCACCTCTGTTATGGTGTACTCTCTCTGTAATGGCGGACTGCCTCGGCAATGGTGGACCACCTCAGCAATGATGGGCTACCTTGGTAATGGCGGATGCCCCCTCCCCCACAAAGCTGGACAGTTCCAGGTTCAGCTGTACTTGCTGGGAAACTCTCAATCCAGAGCATTTCATATTGCTGGTCTTTGTGGGGGTGGTACCAGCCATGCCTGATCACCTGCCTCAGACCCGTTTTTTATTTTTCAGTTAAATGGGTGACTCTGTCTCTCATGCGTTCCAGTTGCCAGTTGAAACGGTGCTCGGATTTGTTTGAGTTCTTGTGCAGAAACCTGCTGCACTGGCTGAAACAGCCACGCTGAGGGCTCGTGGCGCTTTTTCACCTGGGAATCTCCTGGCCTAGCTCCCTGTTTCAGTCCCCTTTTTTTCTGTTGAACAGATGACTCTGCCTCCCAGGCACTCCAGTCGCCAGCTGAAATGGCACCCAGACCCGTGTGAGGTTTTTGGGCGGAAAGCCGCCCCGCTGGCCGAAACAGCCATGCTGGAAACCTGTGGCGCTCTTCCACCCAGGAATCTCCTGGTCTGTGGGCGATAAAAATCCGTCTGGAAGTGCAGTGACCACTCACCCTCTGTGCGCTTGCTGGGAGCTGCAATCCAGAGCTGCTCCTACTTGGCCATCTTGGATCCCTCCCAGCTGATTCTTAAGAAAATCCAGACAGATTGATCAAGTAGGTATTATTGTCCTCATTGTACAGGACAGGAATTAAGGTTGACTCAGAGTAAAGTGACTTGCCCAAAGTCACACACCAATATTTGGTGACCCTGGGTTTCCTGACTCCACATCTCATATTGGCGAAAGGGAGTTAGTTATGAGGTTTCTGTTACTTGTTTTCTGAGACAGAGTCTTACTCTGTCGCCCAGGCTGGAGTGCAGTGGCACGATCTTGGCTCACTGCCACCTCCACCTCTATCTCAGATAGATGGAAATGTAGAATTGTGATGCTTTGACACACTCGGAACAAAACAACTCCCTCTTGAGAACCAAGGACATTAGACATAAGGACCATGTTTTATTTTAAAGCCACAAAACAGGGAGCCTCTAATTTAAGATTTTTGGGTCACTCGAAAGTCTTTCCACAATCAGCTCAAGTGTCCTTTCCTCTGAAGCCTCTTCCAATTCTCCACCCTGCACCCCCTCCTCCATGCTATAGGCTTCTGGACAGCACCATCACATCCAACTGCCTGCTTTCCTTTTTCTGCCTCCCCCTAACTGGGCTATGGGTACAGGACAGAAATAGTCTTATTCATCTCTGTATCAACCTAACAATGCATCTGGCATACAGTCAGTGCTCAATATATGTCTTGCAGGAACAAAAAGAAGTAAAGTCTTAATCCATCTTAATCTTTTTATTAAAGCCTATACCACAATAAGAAAAGGGTCTGCCTAGGCAGGGCACGGTGGCTCACACCTGTAATCCCAGCACTTTGGGAAGCCAGCGCAGGTGGATCACCAGGTTAGCAGATCAAGATCAGCCTGGCCAACATGGTGAAACCCTGAGTCTTCTAAAGATACAAAAATTATCTGGATGTGGTGCCATGTGCCTGTAATCCCAGTTACTTGGGAGGCTGAGGTAGGAGAATCACTTGTACCCAGGAGGCGGAGGATGCAGTGAGCAGAGATTACGCCATCGCACTCCAGCCTGGTGACAGAGCAAGACTCCATCTCAAAAAAAAAAAAAAAAGAAAGAAAGAAAGAAAAGAAAAGAAAAAGAAAGAAAAGGGTCTGCCTATCTGAGGGTGGCCTGCAGGCTTCTGTGGTGAGACAGAGAACTGATTGTCTTCTAGGGTCTGGATAGAATCAATGACATGTTTTTTTCTTTTTGTGGTTCTCACCCACCCCTAACCTTGATTGAAGACAGCAACCACCTCAGTCCATCACAGGCAGGGCTTGGCCTTGTTTCAAAGCTGTTTGACCATCTCAGAACCCTCAACCCTTCAGGCTTCCTATCAATTCTGTTGTTCTTAATTAGAGCCATCACTTGAACCTGACTTACCCAATGGGCGAGAAAAACAGGCTTGCTAAGAAGGTGGTACCAAGAAGCTACGAGGCTGGGTTAGCATTCCACAGCAACTCCTGCCTCCAATGAGGGCTGCCTGCTGTGCAGTTCTGGCTTCTGTGAGACCTCAGCCTACCATAATCCCTAGACAGTGACATTATGTCCACAACCAGTCCCACAGTGCCAGTTCCTGGGAAGCCAAGGGACTTGTTGAATAGGAAACCAGCACTGAGTTTTTTAAAGATGTGGGACATCTATTTAGTAGTCTCTGGCTAGCCCCAACACGCACATGAAAAGAGGAGAGGCTCCCATTAAAATGAAACTACTGGTGTGGAACATTCCCAGGCATAGGAAATCTAGATGTTGGAACCTCATGGAAAGTGAAAGAAGTGGGCTGGTGATCTTTAACAGGCCAGTGCAGGCCCAGTCCTGGGAGGAAGGACTGGGGAGCAGGTTAATACCAGGCTGGCGTGCAGTGGCTCACTGCGACCTCCACCTCCTGGGTTCAAGCGATTCTCCTGCCTCAGACTCCCGAGTGACTGGGACTACAGGCGCACGATACCACGTCCAGCTAATTTTTGTATTTCAGCACAGATGGGTTTTCACCATGTTAGCCAGGCTGGTCTGGACCTCCTGACTTCAGATGATCCGCCCGCCTCGGCCTCCTAAAGTGCTGGGATTACAGGCATGAGGCGCCACGCCCCGCAAACGCAATTTTTTTAAAAGGTCGGGGGGTTGAAGAAAGTAGAGTATGGAAGTGGCTCCATCCGACTGCTTCAGAAAGTACAAAAAGAAAAGGAAGCCGGGTCATGTGGTGTCCTTACTCTTCTCGGTCCCTCAAGAATTTCCCAGGAGGATGGACTCCCCTAAGAGGCTGCGGTGTGCTGGGGGCCCAATCCTGGTCCACCCTTGTCGCTGGGCTAGGACCAGAGTTGATGGCGAAGTTCTGTTCCCAGGGGGCGAGGCTCCTTTATTCCCACCTGGCCAAGTGGGGGCTTTCTACATTCCTCGGGTCCCGGGAGGTCTGGCCTCTGACACGGCCAGCTGCGCCTGGGTAGCAAGACGCCTTGGTGGCTGCGGCTCCTGACTCCTCTCCGGCAGCACAAGGTCAAGGGTTTTGGGGGGGGGACCGGAGGCGCAGCTGCGGGGTCCCTGGAGCTCCCAGGCGAGGCCTGGTACCGGAAGCCCTTTCCCTCTGAGGCGCTCCTCTGTTCTCTCGGGGCCGCCACATTGTGGGGTCGGGCAGGTCGCGCCCCTCCCCCAGCTGAAGAGCGGCGCTCAGAAGAGCCCTTCCCCCCACCGCAGCGGCTCCTGGGTGAGAGAAAAACAAGGGCGGGCTTCGCGGCTGCTCGGAGCCGGGCATGCGCAGTGAGTACCCTCCGCTGCTGCGGGGTTCCAGCGCCGTGACCACTGCCCTGGGTCCCTGGACACACCCCCTCCCCCGCCCGGAGCACCTGCTTTTTCTTCACCAGGCCTCGGCTCAGTAAGGCCTGCCGCCTCCTCTTCTGCAGCTCAGCCCTCAGCCTCTTCCATGCATTCCTAGCAATGCCTCTCAGAAGTGGGGTTCCCTTCCTCTGAGTTCCCTGGGCTTTTTTTCTTTTCTTTTTGCATTTATTCTGCCTTGGTTTTTAGCCATCTCTCAGGATGGCAGTACATCCTGGAGGTGGAAGGACTAGGTTCAAACCCTGGCCCCTACCACTTACAACCATATAAGCTTAGGCAAGTTACTAGACCCTCCTCTACACTACTGTTTGTCTGTAAAATGGAGGTAAGAGAATCATCCTCCCTACCTCCTGAAGATGTGTGAGATGAAATGAAATGATGCTTAGAAAGCACTTGGCACCGTTCCTATCACATGGTTAGCACTCAGCAAATATTGCCTATTAGGATTTAACCCATGTTTTTACCCTTTCCCCAACACACCCCTTTTGGCTGGCTGGCTGAATTCGAAAGACTGAGCAAATTCCAGGGTAAACAAGATGGCACTATCCAAACAAGAGGAAGGAGAATATGTCCAAGAGCCAGGTAAACATGCTCTCTAACAGGTCCCATGACTGGAGATGCTCAGGATCAGAGGAACAAAATGGAACATGCCAGACTCCATGGGAGGTGTCACCTGACAGAGGAGCTGACTGGACAAGCCTGTCATCTTTAGTGAACAAAATATAATCCTTGGCACCACCACTTGTAATTTCTGGGGTGACAGAAAGGTCAAGTGAGCACGACCACAGTGAGTGGGTCACGAAAGGCATTTCTGTTCTCAGGTTTCCTGTGATCAAGTACCTGTAAGCAGCTAGGAATGAAGATTGGGAACCAGAAGCCCAAATGTAAGAGGCACTCAGCACTAGAGATGCTCAGAAAATGCTGTTCCATGTCTAGAAGATGATGGATAAGTTAGCCAACTGCTGGAGTTTTTCTGGGAGCAAATACCATAAAATACAATTTGTGGAAGCATTACTGATAAGCTATGCTGCTGACATATATAGTATCAGGAACCATTCACCCTAAAACCTAAGCAATGAAAAAATGTTTAATAGTAACATTGAGCATCTATTTTTAAGTGGGAGCTTTTAAACTTGGACTTATTTTAGTCCAAAATCATTTACTTAGTGATGAGGTAAATGATTTGACTCATTTCATAACATGAACAGAAGGATTTTCTAATAATTTTTACAATGAACACAGAGATTCCCAGCAAGTTGAAACAAAGAGAAATGATACTGTTCTTGCCCTTAAGTTCATACTTTAGTAGAAGGAACAAACATATTTGTAAGTTTCAATATCCTGTTTTAATCTGTATCAGGGCTTCAAAGTTGAACCCCAAATCTGCCTGCAGATTTTGTTTGACTGTTACAGAGGTTTGTAAAATCTGAAATGGAATATCGTTATTAGGGCATGAATGGCCCAGTTCAGTACAGCCCCCACCACTCCCTAACACTTTCTTTACACACTGGCACTGCCTCCTGGATTCTGAAAGCTTTTCAGTTGGCAAGCAGGATCTGTACTTTTCTTTCTAAGTATGTTTACGCCTTTGGCCAAAAGCAACACAATTTGGACCCAATAAACTGCAATCCAAAGACATGCTCTGAAGGACATGTAATGCCATAAACTGTTGTGGGCAGTTTTTGAGAGCCAAGCATTGTGATAGGTTCCAGGGATACAAAATGAATGAGTAAGGATCCCTGTTCGATAAGCACTTAAGATACTGAAATGACAAAGGCACCAAATAAAAGTGAGGAATATTGAAAATAGGATGTTACGTGAGAGGATATGGCTATAGAATTTAAAGTTTGCTGATTCTAGACAAAAAATAAATTCCTTAGAAAGAAATATTCCTGGCGGGGCATGGTGGCTTATGCCTGTAATCCCAACACTTTGGGAGGCCAAGGCAGGTGGCTCACCTGAGGTCAGGAGTTCAAGACCAGCCAGGCCAACATGGTGAAACCCTATCTCTACTAAAAAACAAACAAACAAACAAACAAACAAAAACTAGCCGGGCACAATGGCTTGCACCTGTAATCTCAGCTACTCGAGAGGCTGAGGGAGGAGAATGGCTTGAACCCAGGAGACAGAGATTGTGGTGAGCCGAGATCATACCACTGCATTCCAGCCTGGGAGACAGAGAAAAATTCTGTCAAAGGAAAGGAAAGGAAAGGAAAAAGGAAAGGACAAAGGAAAGGAAAGGAAAGGAAAGGAAAGGAAGGGAAAGGAAAGGAAGAGAAAGGAAGAGGAAAAGAAAAGAGGAGAAGAGGGGAGGGGAGGGAAGAGGAGAGAGGAGGGAGGAGGGGAGGAGGGGAGGGGAGAGGGGAGAGGATTCCTAGAATAGAGAAGAAGAGGGAAGGAGGGAGGGAGGATTCCTAGAACAGAGATGAAGAATCACTGACATTGATTGTTCTTAACATATCCCAGAACCTGCTCTAAGCATTTTTCATGGATTATGCTCAGAACGAGTAGGAATTTGGATATCCCCATTTTACAGATGAGGAAACAGAGGCACAGAGAGATTAATTACCTAACGCAGGGTCATATAATAGCTGGCAGACAGCAGAACCACACTTGGAACCAGGCACTCTGGCCACCAGTGCTCACACTTTTAACACTATTCTACACTGTATCCTGGAATAACCTATCACTAGGCTGTACTGACTTCTTGCAAATACCATTTGGGAACCAAAAATTTTCTTTTCAAAGTTCATCAAGCCAATTCTGTGATATTTAGTATCCTGAGAGAAATTACTTTGTCCAAGAATAAAACCTAACATATGTAAGTGACAGGTCTAGTTTTTAAGCTAATAGAAATTAATAAATGTGGTATTTGTTTATAAATCAGTCTCTTATGAGTTTAGATTGTGTGAATCAATTTCCCAAATTCCAGTCACTCTTGCACCATGCTGAGAAAAAACAAGCCTCCACAGGTGATGTGTATGTACATCAAAGTTTTAAAAGCATTAGCTATAAGGTAGAAATGAGGTAAGACATTTGCCTTTAAGTGCCTGCCATCAATCAGCAAAAGGAAAAAAAGGCTTTTTGAACACATACATTTTTATTTAGTCATTCATAAACTTCATGTACACACTACTATATTTAATATGCAATAAGATACACATAAATATACATTTTAATTTTTAAAAAACAGATTGAAGTAGATATTTCATTGCCCCCAGTGGACTATCTGGCACACTTCCTAAGGTGCCTATATTCCTGATTTTGGAATCTACATACCTTACATCAAGGATCTTATCTAAGGGCTGGACCATCTAACTTAAACCAGTATCTTCCAGTCATCGAAGACTTCCCAAAACCCAAATTAAGAATAATTTCTACACTTAAAGAAAATCCTGTGCATTGTTGCTTTGTCAATGAAGCATACCAGAATGCATCTGAGAGCAGGGGTTTTGGGAAATCTACATCCAGGTGATGTTTTTAAATAATTCAAGACTATTCTTATATGTCTTAATTTACAAACATTCTCTAATAAGCATGAACTATACTTGGTTGCTTCACCTCTCAGGGCTGGGAAAGTGGAAACTAAAAGAATACTTGTTAACTGTATGACTGTCTTCCAGCCAAAGTGAGGCGATCTTTGTCATCTGCTTTAATGCAAAACATGCAGATATTCCCCTTTACCACACTCTTCTTCCCTAAGAGTGAGACTATCCCAGAGGCAGCATGCTGAGCAGAGCCATCTCTTCTTATGTAGCATTCTATTGAGCAGAACGTGAATTTAGCTACCTGTAAGGTATAATTCAGAGATTCAAGAGTTTTGCAAAGATGACTTGTCTTTGGAGTCTTGAGCTGCCCTGTCACAAATTCAACAACTCTGTGGCTGCGTTGCTGAGAGGAAGCCCTGGCCACATGGAAAGGCTGCATATAAGTGTTCAGTCTGACAGCCAGCATCAGCCACCGGACATGTAAGCGAAGACACCTCTAGATGATTCCAGCCCCCATCTGTCGAGTCACCCAGCTGTTTCCAGAGAACAGAGAGCAACTATCCCACTATGCCTGTTGGAATTCTTAACCCACAAAATCCATGAGCATCAATTGGCTGTTTTATGCCACTAAATTTTGGGGTGGTTTTTATACTGCAATAGTAAAATTCTCTGTGAGATTCTGAAGTGCTCTCTGAATTATTATGGAAAGAAAACATTATGTTTAGTGTTAAAGTGCCTTATTTATTTTCAAACTCAGGGTAACAGGGCAGTCATTGATTATTAAAATATACAGGGGACTCTCTAACAACAAGATTTATTAAACCCCCATCATCATTTCCTTTGTGTACCAGCACACAGCCATTTACTATATTTGCAGAATAATGGTGGCAGTAGTCACTCTGCTGCCTCCTGTGAAGCAACTCTTTTGTTCTCTCTCCTCTCTCAGAAATGAATTGCTCCTTCTCTTCTTCCAGCTCTTCCCCTTCTCCTCTCTATTGCTCAGGCCGGGAACTCAGGAATCATTTTTAGATGTTCTCTCTTCCTTGCCCCTCACACTGAATCCATCACTGAATCCTGAGTGATCTACCTTCATGACATACCTGGAAGCAATCTGCAGCTCTCCCCATGTAGGTGGTAGAAGTACCGTAATCCATGTGAGTGGCACCCCCTAGAGTTCATGAGTACATGGCGGCCTGACCACTGGAAATGCCCTGCTCCAGGCACATCAGTTCTGCCCTGACCCCAACTATGTTATTCCTGCTGCTCTCACAGCTCCTACTCTCCCTGTCACAATCTGTAATTCACACAACACCCAGAGTGACTTTCCAAAATAGTCACCAGAACATTGTGTACCTAAATGGAATCCAAACTTCTCACTCAGCTCTGATGACCAGGCCCTTCCTTGTCTCCTCTCCAGCCTCCTTTTCTTCCACTTTCTCCCTCCCTCACTCCCAGCCAGCCACCTTGGCCTTAATTCACTTCTGTGAAGTTGCACTCCCTCCCCCAACCCTCTGGGACCTTTGCTCATATCTTTATCCAGCCTGAAACGTTTCCCCCATCTTCTCATCGCCCCCAATTTCTCATGGCCAGTCTCTGTTTAAATGTCACTGCCACCTCAAGAGACCTTTTCCTAACCACCTTTTGTTAGTATCATAGCACACTTAGCTTTCTCCATAGCCATCTTCTCAGTTTATAAGTACCTATTCATTCATTTCCTTTACCTGTTTACTTCCTGTCTCTCCACTACACTGTAAGCTGCTGATGCAAGGACCAGGCCTGTGTCCATCACCAATACAACCCCAGCACCTAGCATGGTGCCTGGCACATAGCAGGTTCAATCAGTACATGCTGAATGAATAAGTTTACTTGCATATTGTGTAGCAGTAGACTGTGGTACTCCACTCCACTCCCACCTCCAGAACTTTTATTTTCCTACCAGTTGACCACAGACCAATGGTTCTCAAAGTGCAGTGCCCACCCAGTAGCATTAGCATCACTGGAACGTACTAGAAATGCAGATTCTCAGGCACCACCCTGTACCTCCCAAATCAGAAACTCTAAGGGTAAAGCCCAGAAATCTGTATTTTAACAAGC